TTTTGGTGATGCAAATTATTGATTGACATATCAGCCCTGATCCCCCCAGTGTCGCACTGTGGGCAACCCAACGGGTTTAGTAAGTGTTCCTGTGTGACCACAAATTCTCAGAAATGTGAAGGTTCATCATTGACGAGATCATGAAGCCTGGATCGAAGAGTGTTGGCTACCTCGCCAGGTCACTGCACCCGCGTGGTGCTTGTTTCCCAGAGCAAAGCTTCATCGAGATGCATGATGTATCGAGGTCCTGTATGTATATATATATATACACATGCAATATGACGAAATGGAGCACCGAAAGAGGTTTGCTGAAGTTTTCGTTTACAAGGGGAGGCTCAGAATTAATAGTTTCGACGAATCGAATTATATCAATATCACTACTAGAAACATTCCCTCAATAAATTAATAGCATATTGATTTACTGGGGGGCTTAGGACACACGCATCGCAAGCATCATTTGAGCGGTTGGAATCAGCTTAGCGACACAGGTCCCGGATTGGGGTTCGAGCATTTCCACACAAGTCCAATTGGTGACACTAGCGAGCCTCATGGAGTACACCACGCCTCCATTGATAGTACTTCTCTTGCGGATGGTGGTGGATCAGCAAAGTATTCTTTGGCTTTCGTTCCCGCTTCTCAAGTATATATTTACTTATAGATCCCAGATTCCAGATCATACAAGCGTCGCCGCATCCCTCCGCTGCCAGCCAGGCACAAGTATGGTTGTCGGACTTTGCAGCGTCTTCTGGAGCATTGCTCCCAACAGCAAACCCTTCCCATTGTGGAGGGGCTTTTGGCAGAGGTAGTGCCCCTGCTTTTTGGCTTGATGTATGTCCTTCGGAATGGCGTATCCGCAGGATGAACGAACATACCAAGAAAAGAGAAGACAGATTCCCAAGAACATATTAAATAATAGCAATCAGCACTGCTTTTTGAGGGCTTTGTGTTATGCCACTGAGGTCGAGGCATCCATACGGCAACTATGTGGTGCAACAGCTATTTGAGCATGGCAACAGCGAGCAAAGGGCCTGTGCGGTTCAGAAGCTGGTGAAGAATGCCCCTAGGAGTGAAATCAAAGTTCAACTTCGAGTCGGAGTCGAAGGCTTCGAAACCCTTGACAGGTTTTGTGGAACAGCGTTTCCGAATCAGCCTGTGCAACAACAGGTGCCAGGTATAGTAATTCAGCAACCTGTCTTAAGCACAGACCTCACTCACGTGCGATGCAGACAGGCACATGCATGCCACCTGTCAACTGGAGTATATAGATGTTTGTTTTCCCACTGTGCATGTATTCACCCATTTCAGGTAGGCAGGGTCGGTGATGAGGATTTTTTTGAATTGAATCAGTTTATATAGATGTACTCAACTCCTTTTGTGAACTTTGGTTCAAGCCAAAAGGAGTGTCACTCCAGGCCGTGTCGCGGCAGAACGAGCAGTTTTTCTTTGTTTTTCCCTGTTTGTCTCGCCGGGCCATGTCGAACTTTGCGCAGCGCCATGCAGCTGAGCATGGCTTTGGACCGGCATCGAGCAGGCGAGCGATTTGGCTTTCTTCTTCACCTCGCATGAAGAGGCCATGAATGAGGCGGGCCGGGCGATGGCTGATGGCTGGGAGCTCGCCCGTCGTGTATGGAGGTTGGCGTGGGGGACTTTGTGCGCGACCTCTTCCAGAAGCGCGTGAGCCATGCGCGGCCGGCGAGGCCTGGTGTGTGTTGCCTCCTTCCTCCGGCCCAAGGACCTAGCTACCTCATGCGCAAGGCCGTTCAAGCTCAGTTGCGCCCGGTCTACCGAGTCCGCCCGAACTCCGCTTTCACGCCACGCATGAACGACATTGAAGGCCACCCCGTGCCAGCCACTTACTGCTCAGCAAGTCCCCATGGCGAGTCTCATGGCGCCGTGCCCACACATCCTTTGCGCAAGTTTCAATCCTGGGTGGTCGAAGGCACGGCCATAGGCCTCTAGCCAGCCAAGACCTTTCCACCCTTGATCTGCCTTGGGGAAGACCGGGGCTTTCAATTGACACAATACCCCAGTCGAGACCCCCTGATTTGACTCATCATGCTCTTGATTGGCTGGCCTGATCCTTCCATCATGGAATGTCTCATCCAGCTGTTGGCCTTTCACCAATGTGCTGGCTGGCATCAGCCCGTGCAAGTATGACGAGGCCATCCATAGAGCAGGGGTTGATGATGAGGTGCTGGGGTTCTGCGCCACGGCAACAGTTATGCAGTTATGCGCACATCTCCCTGTGTTCCTGCTGGGTGGCGCGACTTTTGCATCGAAGGCCGATGTGAGCCGGGCACACAGGATTGTCAAAGTGAGGGAAGCAGATTGGGGCTATCAAGCTTGCAGCGCAAGAAAATCTGCCGCGCGTTTGGCTCAACACTGTTGGTTCCTTTGGGGTGGCGAGCGCTGCAGTGCATTGGGCCCGGCTCATGAGTGGACTGCAGCGCGTGGCGCGTTATTTGGTTGGTGATAGTGAGCTTTTCAGAGTCGTGTATGTGGATGGCATTTTACGGCTGGTGCGTGGCGGCGCTGCGCCGGAAGATGTGGCTGTCATGTTGCTTTTCCTTTGTGGCGCTTGGTTTACCACTCTCATGGAAAAATATATTCCATGCACTAAAAAATTATTCCAGGGTACCATGTGACCTCTTGGAATAATTTTTCTGGAATAATTTCCCTGGAATAATTTTTTGGGGGGGTGGGGTATCATTCTGACAGACAAATGAATTCTGCTTGAATCTTCGACCTCTGGCATACCCCTGGAATATTTTTTTTTAACTCTCCTACTATGTAGGTCAAGGACCCCCAGAATAATTACTAATATGTAGAGAGATGTGGGGGGGGGATGCATGACAGAGAGACTTTTGTAATTGATTGTTGCTTTGCCGCCGTAGTGCAGTTGGGGTTCAAACTGCGCTTAAAACCCGAAATCTCACGTAATGGCAATGGAACCGGTGCCAGCAGTGGCACCGCGCGTACCAGAGCACTGCCATGTGCTCGCATGCACCTTGCTTGCAAAAAAACAAAGCAGATTAAAGGGCAACCCGGGCATACCCGCACTTGATATGGGAATCCAGATTTGTTTGCCATGTGCTTCGAAGGTACGGGATCAATGCTACCTCCGGTGTGGAATCCCCGCCACAAACTGTGGATCTCCTCTTGTGTAACTTGGTGGCAGAGTGGGAAGCTGGCAAGGGATGGCGGGGTGTTCATTTATATGGAATCTACATGATTCTACGAATTGAGATTCTTTGGCTTCTCAATTTTTTCAGCAATCTTTTGTTTTTCATATGCTTTTTAGTTCAAATTCATCAAGGACATGGACGGAGCAACACTAGAAGGCGGGCGCAGGGCGTCTCATAATCAGCGCTTTTGGTTGGACGACCAATGGAACAACACTGTTCGCCTGAAAGCCTCCATCGATAAAAAGAGGGAAGAGATGGCAAAAAGGCCAAAAGCACATTGGCTGGAATTAGCTGACAGAGTTGTTTTTGATAATATTTGTTTTTGATTATTCTTGTATATGTTTGTAATGTATTTGTTCTTTAAGCGGGTAATTTTAATTTCCTTTTCGTGAAGGTGCCAGAAAACGACATTGCTGCGCAACCAGCTCTTGCGGACTCTCTTGCGGGAGAACCACAATCTGGCTCATTAGCAGAAAAAGCAGAACGCGAGAAGAACAATGAGTCCGAACAAGCTCTTTGCTCAAAATTCGATTATGTTCATGTTTTAATTTTTTCATATTTTTTCCTATATGATGAGTTCTGTAACGAGCCGTTCACTCTTTGGATTCCTGGAAATGCTACAAAAAGATTCAAGCAGTCGCAATCAGTATTTTGCCCGATTTTGCCGGGTACCCACGTGGCTGAGGATGGTGTGCCCCAAGAAGATCAGTGCGCTAAGCAACCAGAGCCTGCCCAAGAAGATTCACCACCACCACTGCCAGCGCCGCACAAAGTGCCAGGACAGGATGAGAGAGGAAAGGTTCCTGGAATTTTATGGAATTTTAATCAAGTTCTTTCATATGCTTTCTATATGTTTATATTTTTTGGTTTTGACCCAGACACAGTTTACTCTGACGCGGTTTTGGACCACTCTGGCGTGGCAAGGTTGTGAATCAAGATCAGTGCGTTGAGAAACGAGAACCTGCCCCAGAAGATCTACCACCACTGCCAGCGCCGGCGACAGCACCTCCTGAATTTTGTCTGCGTTGATGTTTTGGGTTTTGTTTTGAATTGTTTTTATATATTTTTATTTATTTTGTTGATTTGTTTTTCCCATTTCAGGATCCCTCCTCCAAAAGCCATTCAAAAAAACTATCCACACAGGAAGTGGATCTGAAGTTGGAGCCTTGCGCGATGAAGTGGCATCCTCAGGAAGGATTTGGTGATCCAGAGCTGGAGCAATATGTCCGAAGTACTTACCAGGAGCCTTGGCTCCAAAATAAAAGTAAGGGATTGATGAGGACATGTTCAAGAATGTTTCAGAAAATGGTGATGGTCATAGTTGCGTTTTCCTTTTTATTGTTTTTTCATTTTCATTTGTATGAGCTTCTGCCACTGCTTCTGCCACAGGTCTACGTGGATTACTGCAAGGAGGTCGGAGGAAAGCCTATGTCCCTGCAGCAGTTCTTCGAGCAACCTTTCCACTCTCAGCCATTGGATTGCGTTGCAATAATATTTTCATATATTTTCATACTTATTTTCATATATTTTCCTTTTCTAAACTTGTGTTTGGGTCAGTCAGGGTCTTTGACTGAATGGCTTTGGTTTGATCTGATCATTTCCCAGGCGGGCCTTCTGGAGGTGCAGTATGCAGGAGCTTAGCAGTTGGGTCACGTATTGCAACACCATGCCTGCCCGTGCATCTATCTTTGGGCGCTTGACTAGCTCTATCAAGAGCAAGCTTGTCGCTGCCGACCCGTTGGAAGTGTGCAAGTCAAAATACCCCGAAATGTGCAGATATCTTGAGGCACTTGGTGGGGTTGCAGACCCTTGTTTTGCTTAGTCAGTTTTAGAGTGCAGTTTCTTTCAGCTGTTTTTTTTGGTGAGATGTTTGACGTATATATAGTTTGGAAACTTTTTTTTTTGTGGGTTTAGATTGACAGCTGTGTTTTGATTTCGGGCTTTGGTTTCTGTCGGTCAAGGAGCCTTCGGTGGAATTCTGGGCTGATATGGAGGCTAATCTGCTGAAAAATTGGCCCAATGATGAGCTGCCACCAGGAATCCTGGCTTGACATGGGTTGAGTGTGGGTAATTGGATATTATTCTGGTGGTCCTCCACATGCAGAGGACCTATAGTTTTTTTTTGTAAATACGCAGTCAGAGCTTTGGTTGGGTCAGAGCATTGAGTTTTGTTTTTTATTCTGCTGGTACACAACCTGTAAAACAGCGCTGGATAAATATCAAATCTTCAGATATTTTATCACGCTGTTATATGTTACAGGTGTTGTCATTTTTTATTCTGGGAGTGCTTGACATGCAAAAGAGCCTTGCAATAAAATATTTATGTATAGCTGTTGCATCCGTTTTTCCTAGGACGTCAAGCTCACTGGGGGCATGTGATGCATGGAGCTGTGGGAGTTCTCCGGCATTACTATGGCCGAGCTTGGCCCCAGCATGCAGTGATTGTGGACCTTGATGTGTTGGAACGGTTGAACCTTCCAAAGCTGCAAGGGTATCCAAAGATCATGTTCACTCTCCTGCAGCCCAGTTGTGTTGTCTATTGTTTGTTTTTAACGTTTTTGCTATGTTTGTTACAGTAGACTATTTTTGTGGGTGTGCTGATACTGATACCGCATGTTGTTAAATGACGGCGCAGGCACAATGATTCCCACCAAGCTCTCATGGTTCTGCGACGGGGAGAGTTCTTGGCGAAGATGTTTGACGGGCAGTGGAACCGTGAGCTTTATGAGCTTGCCAAGGATGCGTGCAACCGCATTGCTCACATTTTGACTCCAGTGGACCCACAGTCTTTTGGAATCTTTTGGAGTTGTATTGAATTTTATGACTTTTTTTCAAAAATCATTTTTTTAAATGTGCATTTTAACTTTACTG